GCTTGTCTGTCTCTTCTTGCAATGTGAAAACCCATAAACAGTTTCAAATAAAGGATCCTGCTTTCTTAACTTTCTGCTTTGAGAAATTGAATTCGACATAAGCACTGTGACTGTACATACTTGCGCACAAACACACACATATACACACATATACACCAGTGGCGCCCCCAGAAAATTTTCTTAGGGGTGGCCAAGTAAGGCCACAACAAATCTTGTGGTGGCACACAAAAAAATTATGAATTGTGTATATATTGTGAATAAGGAGTAATGTTATATTTTTGTTTTTGGTAAAAGAAATAATGACGTTTTAATGAATTCCAATAATTACTCTTGAAATAATGTAATTTATTCCGCAAGTACAAGTGCAAACCAAATAAAAATCAATATTTAGTCTAAAACCTCTATCAGGTAAGTTATTTCTTGTACAACATACAATATATGCCATGTCTAACATTGATGAATTATGAATAATGAATATGATTAAGGAATGAATTAATAAACCAAACAAAACCCAACAAAATTTTGAAAAGCAGATTTCAAAATGCATCTAGTTATTTATTTTGGATTTGTGGTTTTCAATCAGATGAAACACAACTTTCTCGTTTCAAAAATAATTTCTTAATAAAAAGTGTGCAATCTCAGTGAATCAGCTTCGTCAGTGGTGCTGATCAATCCACAATAATTTAGTGGCTGCATTTTATTTATTCATTTATTTATTGAAGTATTGTGAATTTAAGTAAATACATTTAAATTAATAATATCAGCAACTATCATATTGGGGTGGCCACAGGGGTGGCCAGAGTTTACACAAGGGTGGCCGTGGCCACCCCTGGCCACCCCTTGGGGGCGCCCCTGATATACACACATATACACACATATACACACACACACATACAAAACTTAAAACTTTCTGACAAACACTTTTATTCAGCGAGAACACATTACACTGATCCAAATTTACGGTAAGGCATCAGGGGCGATTTTAGGATTTTTTTTTTTTTTTTTTTTTGTACAGGGGCTCGGTTTCTTATAAGCAGGGCCAGACGGAGTCTGTGGACGTTTTTTTCTATTTCTGCTGAGAATTGTTGTTAAAATGTGTGGATTTCTGCAGAATTATTTTGGGAGTATCATAACTAAAACCTTAAAGGTGCAGTAGGTGATTGTCTTCAGAAACATTTGTTGTTGTGCTAGTTGAAAGTCTCTTTACATTCCAATAGTAATGATTAAAGTTTTCAAAGTGTGTGGAGCGCCTCCCCTGGGGGGCGCCAGAGCATGTCAGGGGAGGCGCGGGAAAAAATATTATATAATAAAAATATAATTATTAAGTTTAATTATTATATGTATTTTTTATTATATTTAAACGTTTTAATTAAACAAAGCTAAAAAAAAAAAAAATACGTCTAAAATAAGAAAACCTTTTTTACCCAGAAGGCCACAGCTGTGAATTCGCTTCTGTTTGGCAAGCCCTCAATACAGGTATATGCCTGCTATTACAATGGATCGGTTTCTGAGACCCCCCGATTCAAATCCTTCAAGTTCAGGGCTTAAACCCAAAAGACGACGATATGATGATCAGTATTTGAGTTTAGGATTTACGTGGACAGGACCAGCTGATGAACCACGACCTTTATGTGTGGTTTGTCAAGATATTTTGGCTAATGACAGCATGAGACCCGCTAAACTTCGACTGTTTTGACTGGGATAGACAGTTCTTGGATCTGTTCTATTCATATTGAACCATCATCCTAGTTTTACAAACGTTATATTAAAATACTTGTTATTACTCTGTAAATAATTGCACTTTCATGCAAATGATGATAAAAATGAGTTAACAGTCTGACATCTGTCTGTGTCTTTATATATATACTGTATATATATATATATATATATATATATATATATATATATATATATATATATATATATATATATATATATACAAAAACACAAGGATAAATAAACAAAATTTAAATAATAAATAAAAATAAATAATTACCAAAAATAATAAAAAATAAATTTAAATAAAAAATAAATACAAAAAATAAATAAATAAACAATAAATAGATACAAAAATAATAAATAAATACAAAAAACAATAATAATAAATTAATTAATACAAAATAAAAAACAAGAAATGAATAAATAATACAAAAATAATCATTATAAAAATAAAATATATATATTAATAAATACAAAAAATAGAAGAAAAATTATACATAAATACAAAAAATAATAAATAAATAAATACAAAAACATAATAAATAAATACAAAAAAGTAAAAAATGACAAATAAATAAGAGTTATCCATATACTCACAATTTATTCCAAGTATTTTAAAGTCCTGCAACCTTTTTTTTGCACAAAACAAACAAACAAAAAGCTTTTTACAGTCACTATTTCCTACATATTTTCAGATTTGACACTTACCAAATTTATTGTTAGACTTTGACCTCATCATAAACCAGTGCCTGGAAAAAACATACAATAAAGCATCAATTTT